CTAAATACTTTTTTGCCCCACTGTATGTACGTGTTTTATATTACACTGGTTTCCAGTTTATGCCATGTTTGAGATTAGATCTAAACTTCAAACTAATGTTTGTTTTCTTACTATTTCTTGGAAGAGACCAAAAGGAGAGTGTGTACAGAAAGAAAAAAAGGCTAAATGTCTGTGAGAGGTTTGTGTGCTCCCACCATATCTGTCGACTGCCTAAAAACGTGATTTCTAAAGGGTTTTTTTTGTTTTGTTTTTGTTTTGTTTTAAGTTTTTTTTCAGTTGCACATTAACTGACTTAATGGTGCAGTGTGCACTAAAACAAAGCTCATGGAAAATGCATTTTGAAACCAGTTTCTACAGTGCTGAAAATTCACTCTTTTGGCATTTGTATAAACATGGGGAAAAAACATCTTGAAGCTGCTGGTCAAAGACAGAATTGGGGTTCATCTTCTTTGGAAAATAAATGTGTTATAATCTCTATGAGAATCAGAAAAAAAGTCAGTTTGCTGATCTGGAGCATGCAGCTTTGTGTTAATACAATGCCAAAATCTTTGGTACATGCCAACAAATTCAGCCCAAAGGTCAAACCATGGAATGCTAAGAGAAATTACAAAAAACCCAAGAGCTGCATTTCAGACTCTACAGGCCTCGCTTAACATGTTAAAAGTACAATTAGAAAAAGTTGCATCTGAACAAACGCACAGATGAGGCCAATGTTAAGTTGTTTGCCCATACATATTTGTAAAAACCAAAAAAGTCAAATGTGAGGACATCTGTCCCATATCTAAAGGTTTGAATTAAATTAGGTCATGCATCAGGACAATGATCCCATACACAACACCAAACCTGTAGTGGGATGGCTTAAAAAGAAAGATTCAATGAAGTTGACTTGCCCTATGAAGTTTGTGCTGTAATGAGCCTGTTTTTTTCTTGCCAAAAGAATATTAGCTGGAGTATTATTTTATAACCTGTCAGCCCCTCTTTCCAATCCAAATATGGTCACATCTGATCTGGATTTTATTAGCAAGTACTAGCATACTTCTGCTGTTACCTTTAGGGGTTTTTTCAGTGGGTGATCTGCCTCCATCTCAGCCTATCCATAGCATCCTTTTCTGTCACACTGCATGTCTCCCTAACTACATCATCTGTGATCTTCCTCTTTTCCTCATTCCTGGCTAGGCCTGTGCAATATGACCAAAATCTCATATCCTGATATAAGACATC